CAAGGGAACGCATGTGCTCTGGAGTTCGCTTCACTCACTTTTCTCCTTTCCTTTCCACGTTCTCTAACTTGAATGTGAATGTCAGACCAAGCGCACAGTACTCCTTTGTTCTGTGAGGGTTGACCCAGGTGGATCACTGGAGGAGATCATGAGTTTAGACTGTGGAATTCAGGGGTTGAGACGACTGGAGATCTTACTCACTTCGTTTCATTTGTTTTCGGTTTGAATGTCTCTTATGATTGAAGAGATTGTGATGCTGATGATGCGAGTTCTGGGATTGGAACCCGGAATTTTCCGGCAACGCAATGTTGTCTAGGGCTTTCTGGAAATCATAGAATTCTTCGAGAAAATAGTTTAGGGTTTTCGGTTTAACTTTGTGTCCTTGCCTGCCAGGTACCTTCTTGAGCGTTTGTCGCTCAAGGATCCCAGTGAGGGACCCTTCCTTTCTCCTTTTTCTTGCGCGTGACTTGCTTGTTGGCGTGTGTGTTGACTTGAGAAGTTGCGTGCATGGTTGAGTTGAGCTTGGCGTGCATTTGCTGAGTTTGCTGGTGAAGACTGAGAGACGTCAATGGTTGGAAGCTTAAGTGCTGAGCTTAGTTTTTCAATCGAATGAGGACGAGAACGAGAAGGAGGAAGAAGAAGCAGAGGAAGAAGAAAAAAAAAAGAAGAAACAGGAGAAGAAACAGGAAAAGAAGAGGAAGAAGAACAAAAAGAAGAAGACGAAAAAAAACAGAAAAAAACAGAAGAAGACAGAAACATGGAATGTACAGAGAGATGTAGCAGCAGCCAGCCAGCATGTAGCGACCCAAGAAGGGGCGTGAAAGTTCAGGAGTGAGCAAAATGGTTCCCTACATGTAGCTTTGCTTAGGGATTTTGATTTTTGATTTGCCCTAAGAGTGGCGCCTCTTTGTGTTTGGGTTCCTCTCTTGTTGTTTGGTTTGGGCAGAGTCTCAACCACAGTGGTCTTGGAAGACTACTTAGTTGTTTCCTTTTGTTTGAAGAACTTTCTTGGTCTTTTGACTGTTTAGCTCAAGAGCCAGAGACTTTGGTCTAGTTTTGGCTGCGTGAACGCTTTGCTGAAAGCCTCAATGCTAGCCATTTTGGCGCAAGAGCGCGACTGAGAACAGGGACTGCTGCGCTGTCCGTGTGAGCTGGGTAAGACTTGTGAGATCTCGCAAGGTGACTCCTTGTGTGAGTTAGCCCTCTCGAGCAAGCTCCGGTTTCTTACGCCAACTGTCATGAACATGCATTTTGTGGACGGCCCAGATCTGATATTTGTTTCTCTTTCCTGCATTTGTTGTGAGAGTGGCCGCAGTCCGTCTGTGATTTCGCCGTGCAAAATCTGTCTGTGATGTGGCAGTGTATGCGAGGCTGGGTGTATATGGTGTGTGGCACACCGTGTGACAAAGTCCGTCTGTGATGTCGCTGTGCCATGCGGCTTTGCGCGGCGTCGGCGAAAAGCGCGTTCGCGTGAGTCCGTGCCACTGGGGGGAGGAAAACAAGCTGGTGGTTGCTGGCGCGAATGCGGCGTGTCGGTGGGGAACCAGGGGAGTGCCGGATGTGAGTTGCGTGTAGAGTGTAAGTGTGGCACACCGTGTGGCCAGAGTCCGTCTGTGATGTCGCTGTGCCATGGGGTTTTGCGGGGGGTCCGTGAAAAGTGTGTCAGTAGGAAAGCGCGCTAATTAGAGTAAATGCGGCGTGTCGCTGTGGAGCCGGATGAGTGGTAGTGTGGCATGGTTGTATGTAGTGAATGTAGTGTGTGGCACACCGTGCGAAGAGTGTTCGATGTTGTTTTTCGGACCCGGCGTGTTCAGTGCCGAACGATGCGAATTTTTGTGCGCACTGGGTTGCTTGGCGATGTCACGAACGAAATGAGCAACCAAAACAGCTCTTTGTGTTCAGAGAAAAAGAGAGCTCTATGAGCTCTATTCTTGAGCACGTTTTGAGTAGAACTTTCGGGCCATCAGGGGGTGTAGTTTGTTTTTTGAACACATGTTAGGTCTGTGAATGACAAAACCTCATTGCAACAGAGTAATGTGCAGGGAAACATGCAGCGATTTGGGCTTTAGCAGACGCAAAGTGGGATATTTGCATTTCTGAGAAGATCAGCGTGAACGAGTGTGCGAAACCTCAACCAACTTTTGATACGCGAACTGCTGGGTAGTTTGCACTTCCTGTGTGTTTTGCAATCCATAAAAAAGGTAATGTTCCAATTCCATGCAACCCATGCTGTATGTCTTTACTCCGTGACGCAGACAAACCATCTAGATCTTGGATGCAACGGATTGTTTTTCTCCGCCGCAAATCAGGCTCAAAAAGTTTTCAAAAAACATGCCACCACCACATGCCGTATGCAACGGAAAACAGGAACCAACGAAAAATTGTTTTGGTTTGCGCAACGGTTGCAAACACACCCACGGTTTGTTTTTGTTCGTTGCGCTTGCGCTTGCAGAGCAATTTAGTAAGCTCTCACGAAGCGTGTCTCGATGAACAGTTCAATGACATACACACAACATTTGCAGTGTAAAAATGTGGATCTGCTGTGTAGACATGTCAGGAAACACAATTTTGATTTGAACAACCAAACAGTTTTTGACGTACCTTTTCAACACCTCCATCAGCAATGCATGAAAATGGGTTTCGGACATCCGCCACCAGGACCGTTTTTTGAATTGTTCTAAGATGGTAACAACAATTGACGAGGAATCGTTAGCAAATTGCAGATTAGGATCCTTAATGTGACCAGTGTGATGGATGTTTTGAGATTTTCAGGCCAAACGCAGCCAGCGCCAGGGTGCATTTGGGTCAGGCGCCGGGTGAGACAGCTGCTCCGTGGGGGTCCCTGGTAGTTCAAGAGGGGAAGGACTGTCCAGATTTTTTTTGGAAAATATTTTACACAATTTTTTTGGCAGTGATCGTGGAATAGTTAGAGACAAATAAGGTGGGAGTACAAAGATACTATTAATTATATAGTGTATCTTTTGGATGGCACGATTGGTTGCTTGCGAAGTTCGTTGAAACTGGTAGACATCGGGAAACCGTTGTGCCTTCAGGTTGCTTCACCAGATGTTGCAGCTTATGCCTCGATTGCATGGACATTCTGTTGCGTGCGGCCTGGTTGGCAAGTTGATTTGCCACCCGGGAGAACCGCGTTGTTGGAAGTGAACATAGTTTTTCCTGTGAGCTGCTCTGCTTTGGGTTTGACTGTTTCCATGTTTGCGAAGAATTCAGACATGAGTTGAGGGTATGCCAGTTTGTTTACATGATTGACAGGGACTTCTAGCCTTGGGCTTTGAATTGAGGTATTGGGACCCCTAATGGTCTTGCTTGCCGTATTCTTAATCGGCTTTGTCGCGTGCGCCGTTTTTCCACTGCACAGTTCAAGCAACTCGAAGGTTTCGTTTGTGACTTCCTGTGGAAGTGTTTCAGGTACACCTTTTTTACGATAATTGTTCCGCAGCTGGCTGATGAGGGGACGTCCTCCCCTATGCACTTGCCTCAGTGTGGGGTTTTACCCAAGAAGGCTCCGAAGAGCTGACTTGCAGGCTGCTTGGGCAGCTTGCCTTGGGATGCTTCATACTGGCGGAGCAGCTTGTTTGAGTGGAGTGCTGACAAGAGAGTTGTGTTCGACTGCTGTTTGGTTCATGTGTCATGTGTTCCTTGCCAGGTGAACATCATGTACAACTATGCGATGGCTGTTTGTCTTCGTGCGGGTGAACCACCTCCTTTCCCAGGTGAGCATACCACCCAACGTGGGGATGCAGTGGATTTGAGACAACTTCAGGCGAAGGAGATGCTGAAGCAGGGGATGGCAGTCTGTCGCTGAGGCAATGCCAGAAGCGCGAGGCCCAATGTCTTTTCTTCACCTCCATGACAAATATGAGATGATGGATGATGTCGACATAATCACGAAAGCTAGCGAAGCTAGCTGGAGTTACTCTTGCGATAGCAAGGTTTCTTTCGATCGGGTGCAAATCCTAACCCCTGATTTTTCAGGTCGAAGCCCCCCCCCCCTCACTCTCACTCTCACACTCTCACTGTCTCTCTCTCTCTCTCATCTCTCTCTCTCTCATCTCTCTTTTCGCTCTCTCTCTCTCTCTCTCCTCTCTGTTTCTCGTCTTTCCGTCTCTCTTCTCTCTCTTCTCTCGCAGGAGGATCCGGGCAAAGAGCCACATGGGAGTGTAGCTCCATTGGTCGGTCGGAGCCGCATCACCTCCAACTTGAGATCCTTGAAGTGGAAGACGACGGACAGCAGATCGCACCTAAGACGACCGTTGGTCCGGGTTGAGGTGCACACGAGGTGGCTGAAACTGTCTTCCTCCCACCTTCCCTCCCTCCTCCCTCTTCGCAAGTTCGACTCCGTCCTGTCGTCGCTCTTTGGCATGCGGTTAGCGTTGCGTATCTTGCGGCCGCACTCGCTCACTCTCACTCTCACTTTCTCACTTTCTCACTCTCACTCTCACTCTCACTCTCACTCTCACTCTCACTCTCACTGTCTCTCTCTCTCTCTCATCTCTCTCATCTCTCTCATCTCTCTCATCTCTCTCTCTCTCTCTCATCTCTCTCTCATCTCTCCCTCATCTCTTTCTCATCTCTCTCTCATCTCTCTCTCCTCTCTCTCTCCCTCTCTCTCTCTCTCTCCTCTCTGTCTCTCGTCTTTCCGTCTCTCTTCTCTCTCTTCTCTCGCAGGAGGATCCGGGCAAAGAGCCACATATAAAGGACTCTTCACCTGGAATCGTTTGCCCCGCCCAACTTGTGCAAGGCGTCCTGCCTTCTGCTACTCCGTGCGACTGCCTCCAAAAAGAGCGCCGTGTTTTTTCCTACCTCGCTGCCCTCCACTTTCCCATTCTGGAGCGCTAGCTTTCGCCCCCCCCCCCTTGGCCTCAAGTCTTGTGAATGATTCCAAATGATAATTTTTTCTCACATGACCGCTGGGGGACCGAGGAGAGCGAATCCAGCGCCGGTGACGAATCGTCCGTCCTTCGTCCTGACGAATCAAGGTGCCTGCGGTCAAAGCCACCCCGGGCTCATCATTGCAGCGCCACTTGGCTGGTGAGTGCTGCCACTGAATGTGCGCTTTGGTACATATTGACATATTGCCATATAGTCACTGTTACTGGATTGCAATTTCTTTCACGATCAACGTCTGTTGTCGTCGTTTCTGGCCTCTCTTGTTGAAAGAACCGGTTGCGCAGACGGGTCCTCCGTTCGGCTTTGCGAGCGGCCAAAGTGGCCATAACTCACCCTGTGATGCACTTGAGAGGAACATCCACCCAACGGGAGACACTGCACCACGCGGCCTGTGTTGCATTCAAGTCCCGATCAGTGCACGATCATTGAATATGGGTGGATAAGGGAACTGTCCAAAAGCAGCGACGATTTCGAGCAAATTGTCTACTAGAGTTTGCTCCAGAGTGAACATTGTGACAGGGTGTGGGCATCTTTGTCTTGCCATGTCAGGGATCAGTGTGGTCTGTCACCCCCTTCTTCGATCCACTGCCAACCAACAAGTATAAGCGGGAAGGCGCCAAGGCATTTCGCACGGCTCAGATGGCCTTTTGCCCTTTGGTGCGTTGAAACGATGACTGTGGCTGATTCGTTTACAAAATGATGGTGCCTTGCAATCCTGAAAAACCGTCGACGTCTTCTGCGTTTGCTTTGAGCTCACTGTTTTTTTGTGTCTAAACAGTGTCTGCCGTCACAAAGATGTCTCAGGAAACGGGGATGTATTTTATCTTCATGCTATAGAAAACCCATGCTCCTGGATGAATGCGTAAATTGATGCAAAGGACAAACCCATCCATGTAAACAACCAGATCCATTGGCATCAGGTCTGCAAGCAATGCGTGATGAAGATGGACCACCATTGTCCTTGGATCAACAACTGTGTTGGTTTCAACAACTACAGGCCGGGTTCCTGGGATGTGTGGAGCTGGAACTTTGCTGTGTCTGGCTTGGACCTGTGCAACTGCCAGATACTTTTGCCTCTTCATGCTCTATCTGGCCTTGCTGAGCGCTAAGAGCCTTTTGGGCCAAGCCCACCCGAAACATTTTCTTGGCTTTTTTGGGCCTTCAGGGGATGCTTGTACGTGGTCATTCTTGGCTATCGGCTTTTCTTGCAGTCGGTGGCACCCATCAGGAGATGCAGTCTGCTTGCAGGTGTTTTGTTTCTGGGCCGAAAGAACACCAAGAGTCTCATTCGGTCAGCCATTTCATGGCCATGGGCCGAAAGTTGGGCAGGAAGAGACCTCCCAACTTTCGCTTTGCGGATGCGCAGTGCCGTGCCCCAGATCTGGGCTGGGATCGGTCGGGCAGCTGAGGAGTGTTTGGTTGGGCCCAGGGTTTCGACACGCGAAAGACATGGCAGGTGTCTATATATAATTCTTTTGAGAAGGGGACAGTTAGCTGATTCTTGGTTTCTTTCTGGTAGTGCTGCTTGCAGATCTATGTAGCCTAAGCCGTCTTTGTTGTGCATCGGGCCTTCCCAGGTGTATCTCGCTCTCCTGGCTGATCTCCTTGTGCATCTTCCTGGCGTGCCTGGGCGGAAAGAGGAGGTACCATCCTAGGGATGTATGACTCTTGGGCCATGCTGGGTGTGTTCATGGAGAGGTCTACCCTGTATTTGTATGAAAGAAGCTGACTGTTTGCTGCTTGATTCGAAGGTGTTGATTGTCGATGAAGATGTTAAGCGTTTCCTTGACACACGCACACACACACACACACTCGGGATATTGCATACGAAACTGATTGCCGTTAGCCATACGCCAACCTAAGTGAACAACCTTAATAAACAGGAGGTAAGTATATGCAGTGTGGTCTGGCCATCAATTTTCAATGTTCAAGTTCAGGGCTGTCAAGGTTTCAAAAGGACTCCAAAGCCGACAAAATCGACAAACTCCATGTGATCGAAGACGACGAAACTTGTTTGCAGAGCTCAGAACCGATGCAATGGCCAGCGGTTTGTTCTAGCTAGTGACAAAGGGGCCCAGGAGGAATCACAGCAGGTACGTCACTGGACGTCTCCCCCAGTGATATCATGTGATATCCTTAGGACACTGCAGAGAGGTTAAGTGGAGCTCTGCAGGCCTACTCCACTCCCTGCATGCTTACTCCAAATGGTGACCTATGATTTCAAGCAGTATGTTTATATATATATATATTATTATATACACAACACACACTCGGAGCTTAAGCTGGTAGTTTTTCCGACTGAGGCTGTGTCTTCTTGGTGGGTTTCACGCGTGCCTCGGCGGTAGATTCATTGTATGGCAGTCGGAAAAACTCTGCGATCTTTCGGTGGTCGGAGAGGTACTTGGTGGTGACGAACCAGACAACCATCGAGTTCCATATCAACATGGGCAACCGACATGCTGCAAAACGAAAGGGAGAAGTCTACAGGCAGGGAGTTCACACTTTTATTTCCAGACTCTGCTGTTGTAATTAATTCTTCGAGCATTTCTTGTTCCAGCACAGCCAGGAATCCGTATGATCTAGGCCACTCTCGGAACTTTCAGGAGGCTGGGCGCTGCATGCGACATGGCCTCCTTCCACCATAGAGATGACCTTGCAACCCCAGCATCAGCTAGTGTAGCAACATGGGTCAAGGTTTTGGCAAAATGACAAAACCACGAAACCCTTGATTTCAGGTCGTGAACGTGGCACCAAAATTTGTTTGCCAACATGTGGCTCGCGGTCCTTTGCTCGCCAGGTCTTTGGACCAAACCGGTTTCTTCATTTCCTTTGGATGATGCCCTATCTGGCCAAGAGGCCAGGGTGCGGTATCGTCTCCGTGTTTCATTGGTGGACCAACTGCAGGATGGAAGAAATTGGTTGCCGGAGGTGGCACCTTACATGAATGAAATGGGAACCTGAGCATCTTAAGGAAGGTGAAGGTGGCCACATCCCCACGTTTCCCCACGTTTTCCCGGTCCGGGCCCGTCCCCGTGTCCATGCTTCGCTCTCTGCGCGATCTTCGGCTTCCAAGGCCGACGGGAAGCGGCGCCTCATTTCCCACGGTCTCCGAGTTGGAGCCAGTGTGAGAGCTAGACCACTCGGTCTGAAAAAAAGGGAGGTCGGAACTGGCTGGTTGCAAGACCCGTGGTGGCAGATTGTGGCGGATTCTTTTCGAGTGCTGGTCAAGGAATGGAGTGCAGATTTTTGCTTGGAATCATTGCTCAAGCATTAGCTTCATTAGCTGTTCAGTGCTTGTGGTAACCACGAGAACACTTCAAACCCAGCGAAGCCATGCAATAGCTCAAAACAGTGTATCTGGATCATTTCATTCAGAAAGCTTGTTCAAGCGAAATGTTTGCATTCTGAAACTTGAACCCTCCAGACTGTTTGCCATGGCTGGCCAGATTCTCAGTTTGCAGATTCCAAGATAGGTATAGACAGAATTTGGCTGAGCTTTTCAAAGCCTTCTTGCAATGGAACGCATCGAATTTACCTATGCCGACTGTGCTAACCATGCGCAAACAGAAACTCTTCCAGCTTGGCTGAGCACCTTGTGTCTTGTGTCCTTGGTGGTTTTGAAGTTGAGGCCACATGCTGGGCTTTGCGCGAGTGAGAAGACTCTTGCCGCTGAGCCGTATGACTTGGCCAAAGCCCAAGCTTTTCTGCTGATACTTCATGTTTTCACAGACATCCGATGGCTTTCAAGAACGACTAGGGTTCTGATATGATTGTGTTATGGGGGAGAAAGTGCCCATTATAGGTGTGAACAGGACCCTTTGTGTAGGACAAATCTCTCCGTTTACTTTGACCGAACATTCTACACCATACTTCCCCCTCGGCGGCTACGGGCGGCGCAGCCTTGTGCGGCTCAGGCGCAACATCGCGGTGGTGGCGGAGCAGACGCCCAATCCCGACTCGGCTTTGGCCTCGAAAGCATGTTCGATGCGAGTGATCCGTTGGGAAGATGAGTGAACATGTCTAGAACGTCAGCGCGTTCAGTGTGCGGTGTGTGGGGGGCGATGACCTGACATGGGAACCTTGGAACATCTTGGAACATCTTGGACCCCTCTTTAGGTCTTCTGGGTTGATTCTACAGCTGAGCTGAGAAGGTCTCTGAGCTCTCTGAGCTCAGCTGAGGTCTCTGAGCTCAGCTGCGCTTCCTGAGGTCATGTTCTATCCGACGGAAAGGGACGTCCTGGGCGAGGGGATTCAGACGATGCGATTTAGCAACAAGTGCCGCAACAAGTGCTGGTCATCTCCGGTCTGCATCACCTTGGACACATTGGATGTGGGGTGGAACACCCCATCGGAGGTCTAAGACCTCCGATGGTCCCCAATAGCAAACAGGGATCGGCTGAAGATGATTGGTTGGGTTGGGTGTCTCCCGGTCCGGCCGGTGTGTCTGCCAGGTACGAGACCAGCGATTCCCCCCTGGCCGCGGCCATTTTCAAGGCGAGTACTTTGAGAGCAGGAGTCCGCAGAGCTGGTTCCTAGTAGCTTCTTGTTGCCAGTAGCGATGCCAGGAGCCCCGTTCGTAGCGTCCGATCGCACCTAGTAGTAAGGCCGGGAGCCCGGAGCCCCTAGTAGCCTCTTATTGTAGTTGTTTTTGGTGAGGTCTCAGGTGCAGAGCAGACACTATCCTTTCATCATGCCTTTCATCCCATCGATTACTTGGCGTTGGTATTGGCTTGGTGACCACAGGTGTTTCACTCCTGGTTTGCGTTCTGGTAAAACCCAACGTGGGTGCATGCCATGCGATGGCATTCTATTTTTCGAATTGGATGCCATCACTGGCTAAGGGCCCAAGGGCCAAGGATGAAAACGTCCCAGCTCTCTCCTCCAAGCTCTCTGGAGTCACTGGAGTGTTACGGGAGTCACCTCAAGATGCACCTCAAGTGTCATTGGATGGCACCTCAAGATGCACGATATCGAGCACCTCAAGCCGGACTCATAGGACAGGAGGGACCAACAGGTTCCTGTGACTTATTTCCAAGAGGTGAAACCCACCGCACTCATGTAGACTGATGTTATTCATAACTCCGTACCAGAATGGTTTTACCATTTAACATCTCCAGGCTTGGCGTCGGTGGATTCCGAAAAGGCCCGAACCCGGATCGACGACTCGTTTTCGTCTCCGAAGGTGAAGGGAGTCAACGAGGTCCTGCTGGCCGCGAAGCACGTCACGGTCACGAAGACCCCTTCCTCCGACTGGTCTGGGACTCGGCCTCGGTGGTGGTTGGGGGCGGAGACGCCACGGAGTTCACTCGGTGGTGAGGAACGATGAAACGTGGCCGACTCGGCCTGGTGGTCGTGGTCGTGGTCGAGCTTTTGGAGGGGAAGTAAGAATCACAAGGAGGGGGGATGCAGTTGGTGGGTCAATGGATTGGTCAAGTGGTTGATGCAACACGTCTTTCGCACAGGGTCAGATCATTTGGAGTCAATACCGCTGAGAGGTGCCTCTTTTCTCTTTTGGAATTCAGCTGTGGGTTATGGCATCCAAAAGGAAACAGGATTCATATGCGAATCTTTCATGGTGGCATCCCTTGAGTTCCCCTCAAACCCATCCATTGAATGATGTTGGGGGTGGGTTTTCATGACGAACCACTATGAGTGCCAGGAACCTCTTGCAGCCGAACCTCGAGCTGGTCATCAGCCAGTTCTATGCAGCGGGCCTGGAGGAGACCGCCTCGATGACTGCGACGTACGACGATACGAACGGTGTCAAGGTCGTAGTCAGTGGAGTCCGCTAGCTTGAAGTCTTTCATTTGCAGACTTACTGACTTTTCAGGAAGATTGTAAGCTTGTTTATTTTCTCCTGATAGGCGGCCCGCCCTGTCACTCAGCTAGACTCAGCTAGACAATGTTTGTGTATCAATTTTTTGATAGGTGGTCTGTGGTTAAAACCAGCGATGCACAGCAGTGTTGATAAGGTTTTTAGATGTTTTTAGAATCACCGATGATGTTGTGCTTCGTTGTGGAGTGGGTGAACTCCTCGCAAAATGAGTTCGACTCATCAAGTGGAATGTACAACAAGCCTTGGTGAGTTTTTGCCAAATCTGTTGGGAGTTGGAAGGATCAAATACTTTACTTGTCACTTGTCCCACTTTGAAGGTCGGGTTGGCTTGGAAAAGCCCGCCCTCTTCGCCATCTGCTCATTGTTGCGCCTTGTTGCTCCAGGCGCTTAGAGATGGAGTTCCTCGAACGGCACAGCGGGCGGACGCACAGGTGTTCGATCCTGAGAGCATCGAGGCGCGACCAGCGCGGGGCACGGTCACGGGGCATGGTATGGCTGTTTAGGACGACGTCCAAGGCTCGGTATACGGACCTCTTGAGCCGTGGGGGGTTTGGTGGATGTCTGCAGCCACTTCAGGGGCGAATTCTACATCTTTTGGAAGAGCGTGTCAGACCCTTCGTGCAGCAGGAGCGCTTCTTTTCGAATCTTTTCGACCTGGACTGGGCGAGAAGGACGTCGCATTTGGGGGAAGAATCTACAGTACTGTTTTCTTGGTGATTGGCTCGGGATAATGGGCGATGGACTTTGCCGATCGCGTGACCAGCCCTTGTCAGTCGCAGGATGGCGGTGATGTAGAGTTCGACCGATTTGACAACGATTCTGGGGTTTTGTATCTGCGGATGATTGGTGCCTGCCCCAGACACGTCTCACACTGGGCGGATCGAGGATTCCGGGCGATGGAGACACTGAACAGAACAGAACCAATCATTGGTTTGGCACTACGTGGATGAGTTGTGGGGCCAAATCTGGACATCTTCTTACCACATGCAGGCAGCGTCACTTTGATCACGAACAACACATCTGCTTGCTCTGAACCGATTTGGACGGCTAGTGAGCTAGTGAAGATAGTGGTGCCCAAGTAATTAAGTAGAGGAAGTTTTGCTTTGCTGGTTCCCTCCTGTCCGTACTTTCTTTCGCAGGGCTAGAGATTTCATGATTGGCGGTGGGAGCCAGGTGCCTGTTCTGGGTGCCCGAAGTCGAGTGTGACCTTGAACATGGGCATCCGAAACCTCATGGAGCACTACATCCCGGAGGCAGTTACTGTAGTCCTTTTTGCAGTTGCTGTATGTATATATATATATATAGTCAAGGCCTGGAGCCCCAAACCCTGGTAGATTAACCTCCCTGGTAGTCTATTCTGTTCTTCCCATCGCGTCGAAGCGGTCTTGACTGGCATACCTGGCATTCTGTTCATGTTCGGTGGTCAACCCCACAGCCATGTCAATATAGGTTTCGATTTGTTTTCCTTTCTCATTCAAGGGATCGACCGACACGTCCGGATGTGGTTTGGGAGACATTTTGTTCCGGATCTCTTAGCTCTCTCTTGCTTTCACTGCATGCTTTTGACACATCGACTCTACTTCATTTGTCTAAGCCGTGGGCCTTTCTTTTGCAGGTCAAAGATGTCCTACCGACTGATGACTAGACGGAAGCTGAACAAAAGCGAACCAGAGCGAAGCCGCTACCCACAGGTGGTCGCTAGACCCTTTGCGAAGCACAAAAAGGAGAGGAACGATGCTGTCCGCTGGAGAGTCAGATCTCTGATATGGTGTGTGTCACTGCCAGCGAGTCCGCTCCGCCGCGCCGACGAAACTCTTGGACTTCGCCGGAACGGATCCGTTCGGCCGAACGACCGAATCGTCCGACAGATGCCGACAGATGCCTTGAGGCCTTTCTCATGCTTGAAAAAGACACCTTCCTGGTCGAAAACACTCAAGCTGAGCTCTATGTCAAGTAGAATTGATGTATCAGGCAACAAACAATGATCTGCAGATACGACCCATTCCCTTGCAGAAAGATCGCTGGCAAAATTCTCTTCGGTCCCCAAAGCTGGCGTTCGAAACCTGATGCGTGTTCATTTGCGAACACTGGAGGCATAGTTCAGGAGAGTTGGACTTGTTTGGGTCGGAACACCCCCTAGCAAGAAGCTACTGTAGTAGGTTGGAGGCCATCGCAAGTAGGTTGGAGTCCATCGCCACTACCAGATGAGATCTGGCCATGTCTGGTCCAGTCATTGATGGGATGTATGGGACGCTGAGTGAAACCGATGCGCCAAGCACCAAGGCTGGGCTTCATGTGGTGGAAGCGCAGCAAGTCATGAGAGACCATAACAATCAGCTTGTAAAGCATGGAAGACCACCTTTGATTCAATTTTCCTTCAAGAAGAATCATGGACGACCCGCTTTGCAAACCACTTTGACGACCAACGCGAGTAATGACTGGACGCCGCGCCGCGAAGAAAACGTGGAAGCCCGAAACCTTAAACCCAATACATGGGCACTTTGCAACAATAGCCCCTAGTAGCTTCTTGTTCCTAGTAGTAAGGCCAGGAGCCTTAGTAGGGTCCTCGCTCCTAGTAGGAGCCCCTACTAGCGATGCCCTTGTTCCTAGTAGCGTCGCCCACACGGTGCTTCGCCGGATGCTTCGGTGTCCAGGCGACGCGGTGTATGTCCTTGAGCTGTGCCTTGGGCGCTGCGTTGGGTCTGGCCTTGGCCAAGAGCTTTCGCTTGACGCACAAGGAAGCGCGGGAGGAGTTTGATGTTTTGGGAGAAAACTGGGGGATCAACGATTGTCAGGTATGGCTCGATCATGATGTGCAGTCTTTTGATATTGAGGTTTTCAAGATCTCAAAGGTCTGGATGTAGTGTCGCTGAGCTTTGCAAAGCCATGGTCAATCATGGTTCTTTAAATGTTTTTGTCATGTGAAACAGAGGCGTGAGAATCCCAGCTTGCATGGCAAATGAGTGGCCCATTGCCATTGAGAGAAAAATCAACTTGCTACACATTTGAGGTAGCAATTTGCTGCCTAATCCACTGTTTTACACACTGTCTCGTATCACAAAGATGACATACCACTTCTACAGTTTCTTAGATGAGTCAGCATGATACAAAGGATGAACCACTTGGGGTGTCTCCTTTCCTGCACAACAAATCTCTTTCTCTTGCTCTTTGGCCGCACCGGTCAGTGGGCCTACAACGCGGCCTTCATTGGTGGCGCGACCGCAGGCGCCCCGCACGGGGTGCAGGGTGCGAACCCTGCGGGGTCCTGACCATGGTGGATCCGGTGGGCCAAGGGGTAGAGATCCTCCAGTTTTGGTATGTTTTGGTGCTGAGTTTGGTCTGTTCTCCAAGAAAGACGTCAATGGCACAAGCGGCAGGGCTTTGGCTCTGGCAACTTTGCCTTTGGCTCTGGTGATGTTGGACCCTCTTCGTTCACAACACGAAGTCAGTGGCGTTCATTCTGAAGGAAGGAAGACTAGTAGCGCTAGTAGCGTTATTGCTAGTAGCGATGCCCTTTGTTACTAGTAGCTTCTTGTTACTAGTAGTAAGGCCAGGAGCTACTAGTGGCGTTCTTTAGGGGTTGTGGGGGGGAGAAAACTTCGAATCAGCGACCAGTGGTTCGAATCAGCGACCACGAATCAGCGATCAGATTTCCCGAATCAGCGACCAGCTGGGTCATGAATCAGCGACCACGAATCAGCGAGCAGGCACTGGTACCAGCGACCCGTTTTCGCGAAGTAGCGACCAGGTAGCAGG